TGCAACCAGGGGAGCAGCAGGCAGCGGCAGCTCGTCCTGGGCTAACCCCCTGAACCTGTCTCCGAGGCCCCCTTTTCTCCGACTTCTCTGAGCCAGAGCAGCCCAGCCTGGGCTCTCCTGTTGCTGCTTCCATGCACCTTCCTTGTTTCACTGTCCTAAGTCTATGTTTGCTGCGGCCAATACATTCTCACTTACTTTTCTACACTTTGTCTCTTGATTGAAATCTTTCCTTCAAGAAGACGAGAACCGAGGTCTCGTCATCTTGCCGGCGACCGGGATTGTTCTTACTGTGACTTGGATTGTTTTATCACTGGTAAGCCAGTTGTCCTCGCCACCTTGGCTTGAAGGACATGACTAACTGTGTTCTCTCTCCTCCCTGCATCTTCTCCTCTGGCCATGGGGTTTTCTCTCTCTCTCTCTCTCTCTGTGGATTGCCACACTGTGGGGGCATGGGACTAGCATTTAAAAGCTGTTAGGGTGCTCAGCGCTAGAAGACTCCCATAGCAGGATGAGTCAGTTGGTCATGGACCAGGGAAGTTTGCATTAGACACCCGGCCGACTGCAAAGACAACATCCACGCACCCAGGAGCACTGTAAAAACAGGTCCTTCCCTGAGGCTTTTCCCTGTCAGGTTTCTAGTTCCAGTGGAGAGAGAGAGATCCTTGTCCTTTGGCTGGAAGGATGTTCTTTTCTTCCCTTTCTCTTCCTTCCTTTGTGTATGGAGTTGAATTCAGGTTGTCTCTGAGCTTTTTTTGAAATCCTGGAGGTGGACCTAAGATGCATGGTTGAGAGACCCTAGGCTAGAGATGAGAGTCAAGATAACTAAGCACAGGGGGGAAAAAGATGCCTGGTTTTTAACTTTGGCTTTTCAGTTGGAATTGCTTCCTGAGGGTCTGAACAAAACCATTTACCATAAATGAGAGTTGAGCTTGCTCACCCTGAAGATGAGGGGCTCGTCCTCCCTCCAGCCTGAGTCTCAGGTATTCTTAGGTGACTAAGAATCTCTGTGGAGGTGTCAGAGGGTGTATCTCATGACGCGCAGGAGCCCCATGGGGAATCCCAACTCAACCCTCCATTCCTCAGGACTCTCCCCTAGAATGCATCCTCAAGAACTGGTCAAAATTTGACCCCCAGGCCCTAAAGAAAAAGAGGTTAGTCTTCTTTTGCAATACAGCATGGCCCCAGTACAAACTGGGGAACCAGGAGGCCTGGCCAGAGAATGGAAGCCTTAATTATAGCACCATCCTCCAGCTAGATCTTTTCTGCCATTGTCATGGCAAATGGACTGAAGTCCCTTACATCCAAGCCTTTATGGCCTTAAGGGACAGCCCAGAACTTTGTAAGATGTGCAGCTAGACCTGTTTCGCTGGTCCCAGGGAAATGGACAGAGGTTCCATATACCCAAGTCTTTATGACTCTCAAGGATGACCCTAAACTATGTATTACCTGGAAACTACATCTCTCTGTAATGGCTACAAAGCCTAAAAGAAAAATATACCCAGATGGGAAAAAAAAAAAATCCGAAAATGGGTGAATAAATGTGTCAGTTCTTTGCCAACATTCGGGTGGCAATCCAGTTCTTGAGATATTAAAAAACACTGTCCTGAGTTTTACAAATGAAGTCTTTACAGGGCCAGAGATATGGCTCCCGAAACAGTCCAAAGCCCACCAAATCTTATCTGGACCATCTTCTTAAATGCAAGTTTCTAAGATGTAGTCCTTATTAAAAGGAAAAAAACCTTAGCCATCCAAGCAGATCAAATTAACTTAATTCAGCTATTAAACATTGATTGCTAGACAAATCTTAAGTTCACCTACTTTTGGCATTTTATTGCTAAAAAAGCTAGAAAATAGATTTAGAGCTGTTAATAAATGTCTTATACTTTGTTAGGTATGTCTCTTAAAGATATGAGTGTGTTTGCCAATAAAAGTGCCTATGTTTCTAGAAGTCATAAAATGTATTTGCCAATCTAAACAATGCTAATCATTTACTTTTAGTTATCACTAAAAAAATTAAGTTTTCTAAAAGTTAAGAATTCGAATTATATTGAAAAGAAACTGTATGGTTTGGTAATAGAATATGAAATATGAATAGAATAAATAGAATAGGTAATAGATTAAAATATGAAAATGCATTTTTAAAGGACAAGATTGGAAGTGAGTTAACTCTAAAGCTGGTTATTTCTAAATAGGTAAAAAGACTTGTGACCACGCCCCCCCCCCCTCCACTCCAGCCTTCTTAAAAGTTGTCAAAAGCAAATGAAAAAGATCTTGTTCCTTTTCTACAGAAATTCAGATAACTTGGAGTATGTGTATATGGTCTTTATGTGACATGTGCTCGTCTGTATTATATGTGGTGTGTTTTCTGCCTACGGATGGCATAACTAGGGTATAATATTTATTGGCCTAGAGAAGTTAAATAGTTATATAGATTAAGCAGGATCCTGTGGTCTGGAAAAAATATTTAATACCAAAGCCAGTTTAAGTTCTTTTAAAGTTATTACCATAAAATGTGTTTGTTTTACCCAGGTTTACAAAAAATAATTTATATTACAATCTTTTGGTTAAGTTTGTTTGAGAGCCTTCCCAAAGTTTAAATTTTAAGAAACTTCTTTTAACTCGGAAATGACTTTGAGTTATGCTAGTGGGCCCTGGAATACCTCAAAGATTTGTTCTCTCTCCTTATAAAAGAGAAGATTTTGAGCTAATTGGGCCTATTTAATACACCATGTACAGCATTTTAAAATTTTGCATATTATTTATTCTTCACGTATTGAAATTGTGTGTTAAATCTAAAACGTGGGTTTTGCATTGTTCTTTTGTGTCATTTCATAGTAATTATTATTTACCAGGAAATTTTTATCTTGAAAAGTTATATATTACAAAAAAATTAAGTTCTTACTCAATTGCATTATAATCGTATCTATAACCATGTCATTTTAAGTTTGTCACTTACAGACAGTCATTGTTTTGCTCTGATGCATTTGCAAATATGCTGATTACATCTTTGGAAAGGTTCATGATGGTCACTTCGACCTACTCTAATTACAGGTTTCTAAGTGGGTGATATCTTTAAACTAGATGATGATTTATAGAACTCTAAGAAATAACCGGATTCATGAAAACACTGGCAAATAATCAGTATAAACAAAAATTGGTTATGTGGGACTGAGCACACTGAGAGTAATTCTTACTCTTATGACTTGGTTCAAAATATTGCTGATTTTAAAATCTGTTTTCCAGATATAAGGAAACTTGTTTTTCCCTAGATCGCTTTGGTAAATTATGTCCTCATAAGCAATATTAAAGCATTTATATTTTCCTCCCTACATAATCCCTCCAGAATTTGGCAACTCTTAACGAGCAAGTATTATTATTTTTGTGGCAATACATTTCTTTGCATGAATTCAGTAAGACCAGTTTCCAATTGTGGTTTTATTAACCACGACTTTGACTGGAACATCATGTATGAGAGGACATGCCTGGACACTGGATGTCACCAGAAAGCCTTAAGGAATGAAGATCGACTTTAAAGCCAGAAAGATGATATCTAAGCCTTAGTTGTATTTCGGTTCCAGGCCCAGAAAAGCAGCAAGACCAGACAAGTGACACCAGAGCTGCCTCAGGACCAACTACAATGACTAATGACCACTTGCCCTGGCCTGACAAATCAGTGGAGACCACAACCCTAAAAAAACACACCTGGAAAACTAATTACTATTCTATTGAGATGCTCCCCTGAGATCTCCCCTAAGATTCCCACCTGCAAGAGAGAGATAAATACACTCGGGATGAAGGACCCAGCACACTCTCCCTGCCGGGGGAACACGCCTACACCATTCCCTTCCTATTTCTTTCCTCTAAGGGACCCTATGAGATTTGCAACCAGGGGAGCAGCAGGCAGCGGCAGCTCGTCCTGGGCTAACCCCCTGAACCTGTCTCCAAGGCCCCCTTTTCTCTGACTTCTCTGAGCCAAAGCAGCCCAGCCTACGCTTTCCTGTTGCTTCTCTGCACCATCCTTGTTTCACTCTCCGTATGTTTTTGCTGAAGCCAATAAATTCTCATTTACTTTGCGACACATTGTCTCTTGATTGAAATCTTTCCTTAAAGAAGATAAGAACTGAGGTCTTGTCGTTTTTCTAGTAACAGTATGAGTTTGGTTAAGTTTGAAAAATACTGAATTAAATATAGGCTTGCCATCGTCATTACAAAATTTCACTTCAGAAACTTCAATATGCTAATATGCATTCTGAAGAGAAGGCGTATTTGACCCCGACTGTTCCATCAGCTCATCTCCAAAGCCAAGAGTCTGCAAAATAGGCTTATCATTGCCATGTCTACACATCACAGACACTCAATACGTTCTAGCAAAATTTCAACACTATCCACTCTCAGTTGAATTGAAACTGTCTGTGATATTCTTTGCCTTAGACTTGACTTGTTCATGTCTATATAGGGTGTCCCCAAGAAATGTACACACACACTTTGAANATTTCAACACTATTCAATTCACTATCTCAGTTGAATTGAAACTGTCTGTGATATTCTTTGCCTTAGACTTGACTTGTTCATGTCTATATAGGGTGTCCCCAAGAAATGTACACACACACTTTGAATAATTATAAAGGCAGTGTTTATTAAAATACATTTCATTTTCAAAATTAAACTATCAGCTGTTAAAATGTATATACTTTTTTGGGGAACACCCTGTAGAATCAGAAACACAATCCCATTTCTTCTCACCAGATCTCAGCCCAGGTACCCAAAGGTAAAAGAGTAGTGACACAATGCACTCTGGCACGTTGACCTACAACGCGATTACTCAAAATAGAATTTTTAAGTGATAGAATAAGAGAAAGGAAAATAGCAGCTTCCTACTGGGCCCATGCTTTCCACTTAGCATCGCTAAAAGACGATTTTTCCTCATTTCACAACTGATAGTCAACTTAATTTTGTTGTTTTGCTATTTAAATTTCTGTCCTCTTTTGCCAGGGCTTATTTGCTCTAACGCTGAATTTTAAGCATCTCTAAAAATGCTTGATATGTTCTTCTTCTTTCCAGATATCCTCTGAGAGCCAAGCAAAGAGCATTAAGGAAGACAGGAGGGATGGTGCTGAATTCAGTCCACTGAAAAACCACGCACTTCAAGGCGAGGTCCCCACTGCCCAGAGCCTGGACTGTGTCACCAGAATGAGAACTTACTGGTACTTCTTGCTACTCTTTTGGGTTGGTCAGCCCTACCCAACTTTCTCAACTCCTTTATCTAAGAGGACTAGTGGTTTCCCGGCCAAGAAAAGGGCACTGGAGCTCTCTGGAAGCAGCAGGAATGAGCTGAACCGTTCAAAAAGGAGCTGGATGTGGAATCAGTTCTTTCTCCTGGAGGAGTACACGGGAACCGGTTATCAGTACGTGGGCAAGGTAGGACTCCACCGGGCGCCTTGGCATTGTGGTTTTAAAAGCCTGCAGGAGTTACTACTAATAAATAGACCGGGAGGATGTGAGCTGTTCCCCAATACAGTAAGAATTGTTGCTTATCTGGTGAGACTTTTTTTTCCCCACTTGAGTAGTTTCAGGAAGAAGAAATGTTAGCACTGTGACAAAGAAAGAGAAATGCCCCAGTTGGAAATGAAACGCCCACAGCCATCCGCGCAAGATTATCATAAATCCTTTAATTTTTACTTTAGCTTGAAAAATATGGCCCAGCTTGTTCTATGATGCAGGATGTATTAAAAATAGGAATAGAGCGATTAAGCCGTAAGGAAAGGAAGGTTCCTTTTTCTCATTCTGAAAGCAAACATTCCGAGCTTTAGTTCTTCGGCCAGGTTCAAATGAACTATTTCTTAACTCTGATACCTACGGTGCCGGCCATTCTCTGACCGAATGGAGCCCTTTGTCCTCAAAACCCCACCACTGCCTTAGGTTGGCTGTTGGCACTGCTGCTGCTGTTTTGTCTTTTCTAAGATAATTGGCAAGAGCCGGGCATTTCAGAGGCTCGTGATTTAACTGTGGCGAGGTTCACAGAAGAGACAAATGGTTATGGAGAGGTGCTATTTCCAAATATCATCTGACCATTTTATTGACTCCAGAACGCGGGATGAGGCGGCGGAGCTTTGATTGCCCTTGGCGATCGCTGGAGCTGAGTCAGGGAAACGGCTCGGTTTCACTGTCATCGTCAGTTTCGCTGGCATTTTATCATCAGCTCCATTCTCGTTGCAGAATATCTGCATACTGTAGAGATATGGAAAACAAAAACCCAAGGATACAGGCTTGAACTTTGTGGGTTCTGTGTTTCATAATGTGGTATTGATAAGAAAAATCATGGTCACACACCCTCTACATAAACAAACTGGGAAGGAACATAGCAGAGGAGAAATGTCCTCGTTTATGATCGCAGCTGTGATTTCAGACATCAAGAGCAGGGTATGCAAATTACATAAGTTGTGCAGATTCCAGGGGCTGCACGGTCACACTTCAATCTGTTATCAAACAGCCCCGAATAACCGCGCAGACAGTCTCTTTAAGTGTTTACCACTATAGAGGAAGGAGAGCCATGCGCGGCGTGGGCTGAGGACCAGGCATTGTTCCAGTGAAGTGAATTATTAATGTGGAATAACGCGGGAGAGGAAGCATTCGGGGAAGGGGGGCGTCCACACGGTCCCAGGGGCCTGGCCTCGCGTCTGCTGTGCGGTTCCCACGCCGGGCGCCTGCGGGGAACAGCCCGCGGCCTTGTACTTCCCTCCCTTTCCTTTGTGAAATTTCAAGTAGCGCTGCACCAACAGGGTAATGGTGTAAAAGCAATTAATAATCTTATCTCCTTTGGAGCACTTTTTAGAACACAAACGGCACTGCTGTCACTGAAGTTTTTTCCAAGTGCTTTGTCTAAATAATTGCTCCTTTTCTGCGTTTTCTCCTCAAATTGTGATGCCATTGCACGACAAAAATACCGCGTAGTTTTAAAGAAAAGCAGGCTATTTCAGGACACCAGAGGCAGCCATGAGTGCAGCCGCACAGGGATCGCTTTAGGATCATGGCTGTGAGAGGCAGTGTTGCCACGGGGACAAGTCGTGAGCTGTGGGCACAAGCAGGCCTGAGCTGAGTCTCTGTGCTGCCAACTGCCAGTCGTGCGGCCGGGGCCGGTGACTAACCTCTCCAGGCTTCAGTTTCATCACCTAGAAAACACACCAGCAATGCCTGCCTCGCCGAGTTGCCACACAGTCAAGTGAAGTGAGAACTAGCGGTTGGCACATAGTAGGGGCATAAAGAAGTTGTTCTTATTGGTGAAAAATCCACTGTGTGCGCTCTGTTACATTTACTGGTAATGCACTGAAGTGGAAGGTTGATTTTTATATCATTGCAAAAGTAAAGTGAGGTCACTAATGGATCTCTCAGTGGGCGGAAAATGTAGAGGAGAGAGGCAAAAATCCCTTCACAGTCACGGCTTCAATCTGATTGGCTGGGTTTGGGTATTTTATTGGCAGCGAGATAGATTTCCCTACCGCACCTTCGTCTGCCCCTCCCCTGAAGTTATAGCACGGCTGGAGAAGAAAGCCACGGGCAGTAACTGAAGATGTCATAGTAACATCAGATGTGTGAAAGAGGTATTCTCGCACTACTGATAGGGTGTTTTCCCGAATCTGTCTTTGGAGTTATGTTTTATTAATAGACAAAAGAATTAGATTATAATGCATTTTGTACCACAATTAAAAATAGATAAAAAATAAATAAAAATTTGAAAAGGAAAAAAAAATCACGGATGGGGCTCCTCATGTGGCAACAAGTTGTCCACTTTTAATAGATTTGGAATAAAACAGATACCTGACGAGATTATCCAAATCTACAGGGTCAAGAAACTTTTGAAAACAAATATATCAGACTACAGCAGAGGTTCCAAACTTTCTCGGTTCACGATGCTCTTGATGTCTCAATAATTCTTTTCACAGTGTCCTTAGGTCAAAAGAAATAGCGAGGTCCAAACTACTTAATAGGTATTTATGTTCTAAAAAAAGAAATAACTGTTGGACAAAAATATGCATCCGTTAACAGAAAAAAAATATTTTCATTTCATTCTTAAATAACCGGTTACTTACTAATGGAAAGTGTGTGCCTACTGGGCACTGCACAGCTTCTTAGACTGGACACCGCCCCTCATTTCCTTTCTACATTGACTTTTGCACTGTACTTGCCTTCTACAAGTGCTGGGAGGAAGCCAGCCTCCTAAATAGGTAACATCATCTAAAGGAACGTCACACCACCTACTGTTGAAACTGTGAACCACTCTGAGCTAGTAATTCACAAGGTGTCTGACAGAGCTCAAGTGTTGCATTATTTCCCTGGAAATTTAAGAATGTTTCCTGGTGCCACAGTGAGTTCCTTGCTGCTCCCTGGGTACCTCAGTGAACACTCTGGGGACCATTAGACTACAGTTAGATTCCCATGTACAGGCATACAAAGGTTAATGGAACCGTGGCCCTGCTAAATAATAGTTACTTAGAGCCCCTTCTTGAGGCCTGAAACTGGAAAGATTCGTCTGTACATGTAACAGATAGAAGCGTTGACTGAGGAAAAGTAATGCAGTTGAGCAAATACACTTAAATTAGAAGAAAAATGTTTTTACATGATAAGCATCAGTTTGTATTTGTATTTGTGTCCATTGGTTCCAAGTATTCTGGGGTAAGTCAATAGAGGTGACAGTGACGATTGTGGAGCGAGGACAATGCGAGAGTTGGTGTGGGGGCAAAAGGCTGTCAGGTGTCCAAAGAGAAAAAAGATAGGTTGACATGAGCATCCAAGAAGCAGTGGAAGACAGAGTCTGAAGGCTGGATGACAATAAAGTGAGTAGACGAGATCATAGTTAAAACTTGAAGCACAGGGGCAGTAAGACCCTCCTCCTCTTCCTATCTTAATACTCAGCATTTCACTGTGTCCATGGCCGGCAGGATGAACACAGAAGCATGGACTCTGCGGGTTAGGGAGGCTGCACTTACTGCAAATAACTGAGATGCTGACAAGCCAAACTCTGATGTATGAGAAAATGTCAACACCTGACTCACCTACATGGTGGTGGCAGGTGGAGTAACAAGGTAGGAAGAAGTGGCCCTGCACTGGGTAAGAGTTTTCGAGCTTAAGATATAGATATAGATACAAATAAGGAATATGGTTTCCTTTCAAAATACATGACTATTTCGGGGCAACTCTGAGCTGATTTAACATAAGCAGCATCTGTGTCACCTGGGGGCTTATTAGATATGCCGAGTCTTGGGCCCCACCCAGGAAGCTGTGTCCCCAGGTGAACTATGTGCACATTAAAATTTGAGAAGTGCTGCTTTTAAAAATACCTTCTCTGGGTCTCCCCTCCCCAGAGATTCTGATCAAGTTGGTTTTTAATTAAGTATTTATGATTCCAATATGTGGCAAAATTTGAGAACCGCTGCCCTGGGAGAATATTATTGACAATAATGATAACAAAATGTGGCAAGTTCAGTGATAAAAAGTATTCTGGAAATATAAAGGAGAGGGCCAGCTGGGCGTGGGGTTCAGCAGAGCTTCCCAAAGGAGGTGATGATGTTGAAGAACCGCTTCAAGGTGTTAGCTCACACTGTGCAGGGAGAATTACAAGGACCTTCCAATTAATCCGCTGCAGAAGCCAAAGGAGAGAAAGCCAAACGTTCAGAGATTTCCAGACAGAACAGCCGGGACAGTGAAAGTGTCACTAATGCTGGCACAGAAAACAGAAAGAGGTGCATATTTTCCCATCCAGGGTCACAGGGAAGAGTATATGATCTTATACAAAACCTACTTAGGTTATCTTTGGCTCATATAAAAATAGGAAGAAAGCATCGTAATTTCACATTTTCAGAACAACACCATGCCCTCCTGCCAGCTTTATGTAATGTAGCAATTCCTTGATGACTGGTATATAGTGTGAGATTAAGTTCAATAGGAAAGAAGAGAATAGGCAGATATTGATTAGATTTCCAAGGCACAGGCATTCATTAATACAAAGATAAATAGATTTAAAAACCTCAGAACTTTGCACAGTCTTAGGCGAAAGATTCGCATAGCGTCATTAAACAGGCCCCAGCAAAGCTGAGTCTCCCTGTCCCCTTCCCTTCACCCTTCACAATGCCCTTTGTCTTCTCCTTCCACACAATGTACACATAAGACTAATCTCCATTGGAAGCGTTTGAGATGCTTCTATTTTTAGTAGCACACCAAGAGATCTGTTTTTATGGAATTTGAAACTGTATTTTCATAGATATTTTCTGATGCTTGCTTTTTAGAAGTTGGTGATGGTTTTCTTTGGTGGAGCTTTCCAAAAAATTGATACGCTTTTTTAAATATCATGAAAATGTGGGTTCTATTTGGAGCTCTAATGTACAGGTCTTCCTAATATGCCTTTCTATTGAGTCTTTAAAATG